GCTCGTATATCTAGCCGCACATGACCGGGCTCCTCGCCTGATCGTGGCGTGGGAAGGAAAAAAGTGTTCTCTTCTTTTGTCCCGAGACCTCACCGTTCCCTATTCACAAATCGAAACGCCGCGAGGCGATCCAATCGTCGCGCTTAACGCCGGCTATTCAGCGGGAACGTTATTTTCCTACCGGCACTGCCGACACGACGCAGGATTCTCCCCTCTCACCGGATCATCAACAAGCGCGAGTCGCGAATGCAAGGTGTCCCTAGGTGTCGTCGGATTTGCACTGTCAATTAGCAGTTAATTATTATATACAAAAAAAAATAGGGAAATCACGACTGATGGCGATCCGATAACTCACAGTCGGAATGACCGTCAACGTGAATCTCTGCAAATGATGTTTGTCCAAGTAATGATATAATTATTGTTATTAATACGCGGCATTATAGATCGTATAGTCGATACGCGCTTTACGAATTGCCGATGCAAACTGCAAAAATCTCACTCAGCACACGAATGAAACCGATACGAAACGTCTGTTGTTGTAGATTCGAGGAACGGTTCCACGGAATTGGTGGACATGCCGTCTGGAACAGTACCGAACTTGAGTGCCGTCGCGGGCGTCCCTACAGAGGACATGGCGACTTTGTGGTACGCCATGGGTTTCAAGAAGACACCACCGCCGGCCTCGGCGGCGACACCCTCAAGATCGGATCGTGATCGAGAATCAAGTCCACCCGGTGGCGAAGGGGCGGGAAGCGCCCACGACGAGACCAGCAGTAGCGGCAACAAGGAGGACGAGGACGACGACGACGAGGATGCTGATGAGAGGTTGGACCCGAGACACCATGACCCAGAACGTCTCAAGGCTTTTAATGTAAGTGCATGTGGTGCGCGACACATAGCGAATTGTTTCGCGAATCTCGTAGAAAGGAATTACTTAAAAGTTATTAAGGTTCATTCCTAACTCATTGAAGGATATGATTATTTCACGGGCATCTTTAATTTAAGGACTTCCAAAGATTCCAGATTAATATTAGATCTATTTTCACACCTAAAAAATATGATCTTATGTTCTTGTAACTTATTACCGAAAGAGCATTCCCTCTCTAGCGAATTGAACTATCAATAGGAAGTCTATTAGATTTCCACTTCAACTTTTTTCTCTTTAAATAAAAAAAAATATGCTTACTTGAAGCAGAATGCTTCTTTTATAGAGGAAATTTCTATGAAGAATAAGACTTTTAATCAAAGTCTTATATAACTATTGATAAAAGATGAAGTTCCTCTAATTCATCAAGAATATTATGCTTGGAATATTTTTCTTTTGACTTCAGAAGAATTCTTTTGAAGTCGCTTATAAGAGGATTCCGTTAAAAATAAGATCATATTCCTTGGGCGCGTTGAAAATGAATAGATACAATTGGAAGTAAAGTGCTGAAGACATAAAGATAGAGAAAAGATAAATAAATAAGGATAAGAAAAGAAAAAGACAAGTAGAAGGAACGTTCCATATATTTGGCCCTTGCGTGCTAACGTGTGTGCATGTGTGCGGGTTAAGAAATTATTAAATATTACCTAGCTATAAAAGAGAGAAAATAGGATGGTCGTTCTTCGCGCGCGGGAGACGTCGAACGACAGTTTTATTGCCATCCTCGTCGTCGATCCGCGAGACAACGTGCGACAACAGGTAGACAACGACGCTCGTAACCAAATTACGAGCCGCGCCGTTGCATATCCAACCGGTCGCTTTATGCAACCGCCGGCTGGTGATCGCGCTGAAGAAAAGCGTCGTTCGCGCCTCAGAACGGGGAAAGGATCGCGCGTGCGCGGAAGAGAACGGTGATGGAGCTCGGGTGCAGAAGTTAAGGCCGTCGTCATCGACGCGGTGCGGCGCAACGCGATGGGCTTTACCGAAAAACCCTAATTATCGTAAAGTTTTATGAGCGCGTGGTGCGTCCGAGTGGCGGCTCGGCGCGGAGGAACGGCACACACTCTCTCTCTCTCTCTCTCTCTCTCTCTCTCTCTCTCTCTCTCTCTCTCTCTCTCTCTCTCTCATTTGGTTTTTCCGCCCTCGTTTTCTCTGACGGCTGCTCGTATATCTCTCTTTTTCTTCTCTTCTCCCTCCCCTCTTCTTCCTGCCGCCTTCCCGGCTGTTTTCCTCGTGAAAACCAAGAACGAGCGTCGCGAACGCGCGCGGCCGTAGTTTCGCGACGGTCTGTGCGTCCCGGCCGAGCTTCTTAATTAATTACAATTAGTTTAATAGAGCCCCCCGGTGTTGCGCCCCACCGCCGCTAAATTCTTAATTCCTCGAGCGGTTAGCGAGTCGCGTACGACTCCCTTTTAATTCACTCTCGCTATAACGCGATCGTTGTCTCGTGGCAGATGTTCGTGAGGCTGTTTGTCGACGAGAACCTGGACCGCATAGTGCCAATATCGAAGCAGCCGAAGGAGAAGATTCAGGCGATCATCGATAGTTGCATGAGGCAGTTTCCTGAATTTGCTGAGAGGGCGAGGAAGAGGATCCGAACGTACCTGAAGAGTTGTCGAAGGAACAAGCGAGGAAGGGAGGGCGCTCCTTGGGACACAGTAAGTTCATCGTCACGTTCTCTAAGTCGAACACTGCTCTAAACGATCGTTAAGTATATCCGTGAGCATAAAGCGAGAACTTTCGTATCGTATCGCTCGCGAGTGTGAACGCACAATTTTCTGATTATTTAGGAATGAAATTGCTCCTTCAAACTGAATCTTCTCAAAAGTTATGATCTTTCAGAACCTGGGAAATTTTCATGGTCATTTTACAGAGTTTTGCGCTTCTGTTGATCTAAAGTCGCGCGCTTTTCGACATGCACAACAACAGGCGCGAGCGTGACGTTGACGCCACGCGTTTCTTTTTCAGCAAAGGCCTACGCCGGCACACTTAACGTCGGCACAGGCGGAACAGATTTTAGCATTCGCCTGCGAAAACGAGAGCGAGAACGCCAAGCGTATGAGAATCGGTCTCGAACCTGTGTCGCAGCCGATGCCAACCTTACCTGCAGCGACGGTAAGTGAAACCAGGAGTCGCGTAGCCAGGGTGCACCCATACAAAGCTTTCAAAAAAACAAGTGCCATCCATCAGATAGTGCTCATCCAGCAAGAGTCTGTACGTCATACGACGCAAGCAAATTTCGGCTCAATATGAGTGAGGCAAACATACGTGTGACAAAACCTAATCGCATATATGTCTCTTTGTCGCATATTAAGCAGAAGAGACGTGGTAGTGTTATGCATAGGTGTATACCGGAAAAAGTGAATATTCTATTACGACATACGACAGAATCAATTAAGGCATTCTTGAAGAACAAGGTAAGTAATTTTTTACACACGTGCACATCCTTTATATATATTTTTTTATCATCTACGCGAAGAGTTTTACAGTAAAAATCGCGATAAAATTTTGCTTGTCAAAAAACATCAATATTGGATTTTAATTGATTATATTTTTACATGTGTTTTATTTGTATATTTTAGAGTCTGCCATTTTGAAGGCTTTTAGCTACTCATCTTGATCATCTTGATTTATAACGTCAGAAGTGAGAGAACGCACGTCCAAAATTTCTACAAAATATGTCGAAATGAAAAGATATATCTGAACGCTTCTGAAATACTTCCCAACACTTTTCTTTTGATCAAGCAATCAATTAATAGCTGTAAAAGTAACGTTACAAAATAATGAGGAAATATAGGTTAAAAGGGAAGATTGCGTGTTACGTTAATTTTAAGGTTATTTGTTGATTGTTAGAGCAAAAAGAAAACATTCGGGATATTTTAGAGGTGCTTAATCGATTGCAAGCAACATTTTTTGGATATCTTTTTATTTCGACGTATTTTTTAAGAATTTTGGATATGCATTTCCTCGCTTCTGATATTTTTAGGGCAAAAAGAAGTGTTAAACTGTTATATGTTATTATGATCTCAACGAAATTTTTATGAATTAAATTTGATCCTGAATGTTCGGGCCTAGAACATAATATTTCATCTAAATCCCAACTTAATATTTAATAAAATTCGTGCAAAAGGTCGAAAACTGAGAAGCAGAGTACTGACTATTGGACGTTTTACTTTGGACATTAAGAAATGTATTTTGCGTGTTTGAAAGTTCTTTTGAGACATATATCACGGGTCGCACACCACAAAAAATTGATCAAATTGATGCGGTACTTGGAGTGAATCACGAATCGAAAATACGAGGTACGATAAGGCACCGACAAGAGATAACACTTACAGAATATTGTGAGTAATCGGAAGGAAAATAGATCGAACACTTGACTGCGACAACTACGACAAGTGGCACGTGCGTTTGTTTCAACTTACATGAGTATTTTCCACGAAAGTAGTGGATTAATCTCTCTGGACAAACAAATATAGTTGGTAACCTCCTGAAAAAACATCGTCGATCTCGATGTCGCAATTTCGCCGGCATCGACAGTGTTAGCAAAGATAAGCATCACGCAATAAGCGCGTGTGTATACATACAGGCAAGCACGTTCACGGAGTTATAACTCGTTGTCGAATGTGTTGTGTCCGATTTTCCTAACCTTCATAAGAAAAAAAACATGTGCTTTAGTCTCCCGACTTGAGGCCTTATATGCAAGAAAAAAAGTCTGATCTGATGTGATGGCACAGTCCTTTGCAGCCCTATATCTCTATAAGAGTTTAACTTTTTTTTTACTATTTAATAATATATACACTTTATATATAAATATATTATTATATAAATGTATATATTATATATGTATATATTACATTAATTAAATAACTGAGACATTTAAGTAAATATAAATTACGCGATATCGTTGTCAAGTGAATCAATTTTCCACGTGTCGTTTGAGGAGAAAAATTGAAAACAATTCGAATCGTAAAGGAAGACCCACTAATTAAAATGGGTCTAAACCAATCACTCTGTTTGGTAGTATATTAGTATTATACTAGTAGTATATAGAATTGAAAAAGTTACTTAAATTAAAAAACGATGTTTTATTGTTATTTATATTATCCGTTGAAAAAAGTATTTCGTTAACATTACTCAAGAAGTAACGTATTGTTGCAATTTCCATTACTTTATTCACAAAATACATATAATCCGGGTACATATAATCTATGTATATGTGTAAAATAACGATAAAAGTAATAATTATTATATTCGTTACCGTTATTATTACGGATGAAAAAAATAATGTCGTTACCAAGTCTACTTCCTAACTCTAGTCAATCATACATATAAAATATATAAAAAAAAAAAAATATATATATATACACAAATATATATAATTAATATATCAGAGAAAGATTATTTTTTCTCTGTCTATTATACATACTTAGAAACAAAAAGTACTTCAAGTTGAAAGTTCTTTCATGTGTACAATAGAATTATGATGAACGAAGAAAATTAACAATCTCTCTGAGAAAAGAGATGCATCTCTTGTGCATTAGAAGCAACGAGTAAACACATAATTAACTACAGACTAGAACGCGAGAAAACCTTGATTAAACTTGACTCCAGAAGAAAGCAAATAGAGCAAAAAAGCTAAAAAGAAAGAACATTTAAGAGCCAGGCATTGGTTTTTAATGTTTTTTAATGTTGTTTATAGGATTAATTGCATGAATTGTGACAAGTCATATGTAGGTCAAACAGATAAATTGTTAAAAACGAGAATAGCTGAGCATCATAGACCCCCTAAGAACAATTTATCATTAATTTCTGTAATTAAAGCACATCAAATTGACAATAACCATGTGTTTGATTGGGAGAATGTCGAAATACTCGACAAGGAGGTTTCCCATTTTAAACGTTTGATTTCTGAAATGCTATATATCAAAAAAACAAAAAGAAATAGATTTAAACAACCAGACAGACATTGAATTTCTTGGATATCGGTACTCAGATATTCTCGTTAAATTTAAATTTTAATATTTGCGTGCCCCTCTACACAATACATTTCAACAGTTTCAACAGTTTCATTGTTATTATTGTTTGTTTCTAACGCATTCTATTATCTTCGTACAGTAAACACAGCTTATCATATTGACTTTGTTCCAAACATTAGTTGCTTAATTTCATGATGGTATATAGGTATTTATATCTTTTATATTTTCCTCTCTTTGTGTCTAATTGTGATAAATTTTTGGCTTATTCTGTTTTTTTTTTTTTCCATTCAGATTAAGTATTTTAATCGTTTTTCTTGTTGTCATCATCGCGGAGGACTATTTCGTTTAATTTAGCTAGTACCGCATCGTCTACCTAACATTGTTGGCCACATTTTGTCACTGGTTTGGCCATGAAAAGAAAAATAATAGCTTTTATTTATATTCGAATGTCGATTTTGCGTTTTTTAATTTTACTTGCGTGCGTTTTTTTTAATTTTGGTCTTCCGTAACAGTTGACCCTTGCGCTTGAACTTTTTTTTCCTATTGTATTTTCTGAAGAGGATCCAAATCGGATCGAAACGTAAATTGATATAACCGATATTGTAATTGTCTTTGCTACATTGTAATATATTGATTGCACTTTTAAACCTGTGCCTGACTCTTAAATGCTCTTTCCTCTTACCTCTTTTGTTTTGTATTTAATACCTTAGAGCCAATTTTTTAACTTTCACTTTTAACGAGTAGAACATGTTTTCTCCTCTTCTCCGGCTTTTTCCTGAACCGCGGAAATATCGGAAAATATTTCGCGTGCGTGTGTGATGTCTCGCGACACATTATCGCGCGTGAAAATTCAAGGAGTTACTCGCCCGGCGGCGAGATACATACGTGAACGGAGAGCTAGGATTGATATAGGTACCGCGAGAGAGGCCGGTGATAACCCCGCGGGTCGCGCACCTCTCCCACTCTGATACAAGCCGCGCGCATGTAGATCGCGGAGGGCCGAGAGACAGCAGTCGGTTCGTGAAAACGTCGGCCGCGCGTGCGGAACGGGAAAGAGATGGAAAATATTCTCGAGAGAGAAATGCTACGGGAGGAAGGGGGTGGAGAGGGCGAGGGGGGGGGGGCGTAAAAGTTACCACGGCGCCGCGGAAGAGGACAAGTGGAAAAAGTCGCCGTCGCGGCGTACTTTTGCGCGTGCGAGCGACGAGCGCGCTTTCACGTACCGTAGTAGAGACGTCGCTGAGAGACCTTGTCGCGCGATTAGCTTCGCGCATCTGCGTGTTCCGCGACGTTTCACGTGAACGACGCGCACAGAGCTAGTTTCGAATAGCGCGCGAGTTTCGGGGGTCGCACCGTCCGACGACCTCTCGCGCGGGGACACACTGATGATCACTTGTTCGTTTTCTCGCGTAAAAGGGAGAAAGAGTTCGCTCTCTCGTGTTGACGTCGCGTCTAATCCCGCGGAATGAGAACGTCGGCGCGATTCGACGTTCTAACGCGCCAGATCGGCTTAATATTCGCTACTACCTATTGTATCACGCGCGCTCTCGCTCCGCCGGGGTTCGTTGACCCTCCCTTTAATAAGACAGCGCGAAAAAGCGGTAAGCGATCGCCCTCGCTATTTCGAGTGCGAGGCGGGCAAGGTGCGGGCGGTAGCCATCCAATTCCGCACAATGCAGCAATGGTGCTCGGTGCACCTAATCCTCCCCTGGTCCCCGTCGCGGTTCTTCCCCGATACTCCCCGCCGCAGTTCTTCCGCGAGTTCCGCAGTTGGCGAACACACCGCCGCGACACCGTCGCCCATCCGTTCGTTCGTTTCTCTTTCGCTCTACCCTTTCCTACCAATCGTCTCATCGTGTCTCACACGCAAACGAGAGCTGAAATGCGCGCGCGGTCTCCCGTCGCCGGCTCGACTTATCTACTTTGAAAATCCCTGCCCGAGAAGGAGACGGAGAAACAGACAGAGAGAGTCTCGATAACCTCTCCGGCGACCTAAACCTAACCCATTAAGGAGAAGACCTCTCTCGCTCTCCTTCTCCTTCTTTCTTTCTTTCTCGATCTCTCTCTCTCTATCTATCTCATGCATGTCGGGGTTTGTGCGCGGCGGACGCGGCTATCTGCTCTCTTCGTGGCCACCTATATAATTGACGTCAACGCACACTGCTGGCCTTTCATAAAAACACCTCCCTACATCCGTTCTCCGCCGCGCGCTCGAAGATTTCATTCCTCCGTGCTCGCCGGGCCCTCTCTCTCTCTCTCTCTCTTTCCACGCGATCCCCCAGCTCTCCTTCTTGCTCTCTTCTTATCCACCTCCTCCTCCGCCTCCGCCGCCGCTGCCGCCAACCCTCCGTGTGCGTCTCACTCGATCTTCTCCTTCGTCGAGCAAGTCATCCGTTTCTGTGGTGGAAACGCACATCACCACCTCTTGACTCGCTCGCCTCATGGTCCTCTTCTTCTTTCCTCCTCGTCCTCCTCTTCTCTCCGTTTGTTCCTCCCCCACTCACCTCCTCCTCTTCCTCCTCCTCCTCCTACACTTCCTCCCTTTCCACGAATTAATTTCCTCCCGCGAGCTTACTCACGCCTCGTCGTTTCGTCCCGGCGCATTCGAACGTTCCTTTCTTCTTGGGTTCCTGGCGTTCCTCCCTCGTGTCAACCCGCTTTTTCCTCACCTCCCTCACTTGCCTCTTCGTTCTCTCACCCGCGCCCCCTCCTCGCCCCTCATCTTCCTCCACCTCCTATGCCGCCGCCAATCGAGAGAGAACATCTTCGCTGCTCCGGACCGAGCTCGAGTAAACGCGGACGTTATTGTTATCGTATCGATGCGTCGCCGGTAGGCAGGGTGGGGCGCGGACGTTGAAGTGGAAGAAGATCGAGAGAAGAAACAGAAGAGGAAGTCGAAGTGAAGAAACTCCCGGCGCGCTTTGTTCCGCTCGGTTGCTCGCGGTGGCGGTCGGTGAATACGATCGTGCTCGATGATTGGGATCGTGTTGATAACGAGATCAGGGATAGACGATATGATAGAGGCTCGATTAGCTCGTGTCGGGACGATCATCCGCGGCCGGACCGATGATCGATAGTTCGTACGGTGATCGATAGTGCCGGCTGCTGTTTGCTGTTGTTCGGTGACACGTGCCTCCGGGACATCGACTGGCTACCGTCCGCGTATCAATCATGAGGAAAAAGAATCTACGGGTCGTTCACAAGCAGGTGTACGATCGCGATCAGGTTCAGCAGGTACCGTTTATCGCGGCGATCGCGGGATCGTATGCGCTCGCTTGCTCGCTCGCTCGCTCGCTCGCTCGCTCACGATCATTCTCCAACACATCCCAATGTAATCGTGGCGGCATCGGAGATAAAGTTAACATCGTTAACATCGTTGTTCTTTGGCGCCCCCGCGGGATGCGCTCACGGCGGGATCCAGTTTCCCAGTTGGAGCGCGTTCGCCCGTCGAGAATCGTATCGCGAAATATTCAACGTGGCCGTTGAGAGCGCCGGGACGACGGTCCTTTCGGCGCTCGCTGAAATAATAATCGCCGCGAATATCCCGTCTTCGATCGGCATTAAGCCGAAACTAGGTCGAGACGCTCAAAAATGTAGAACGCCTGATAACCGCTTTCTCGCCGGAGGAGGAATTTCGCGAGCCGTCGCGATAATCGCAGTCAACGGACTGATATGATTACGTTATCCCCCGAAAAGTGGGAGAGCTGCCGCGAATCCGTCCCTCTGTGAAAGTAGAAGTCACATTTGGGTATTCGCGAAGCAAATTGTCATCATGTTTCTCATTATTCGCGACGGTTCCATCTAACCCCGCGAATACGAGAGGTCAGGAAATAGAGATGTAGGAGGATAAAGGATAAGATGCACGATCATTCGCAAGGATCGTTTCAGCGGGATTCTGACCTTGCCACTTCGTTCGTTTCAGCAAACGGATGTCCGATCAAATATGGACCACTTCTCGAGCACGCCGGTGAAATCACTTCCGGTCAAGAGGGAGGATACACCACCGGCATCGCTAACGTCTCTGGCACCGCTAACCAGTTTGGCGAGCCTGCCGAGCGCCACCCTCTCCTCCACCCCACTGTCGCTCGCGTCCGCATCCAAGTTACTCACGCCGACGGACAACAAGGGTCTCATGAGGTCAGTACGATGAACTACTTAGTTACGCCGAATGAAATCTGCGCGTTTGCTCACTCGCGACGTGTGCTTAGAGAGCGATATGTCGCTCCTATTCGCGATCGTTTCGCAATCCGCGTGCGCGCGCGTGTTTTGCGGCCGATGTCGTCAAGGCCGATGTTCGCGATTCGACACGAGAGAGACGCGAAAATAAGCCTTCTTGCATATCGAATTCTACCTTATTCTATTCCTCGCGATGTAAATGCGTCATTTATCTCTTCCATTTTCTCTTTTCTACTTCTCAAGGAAGAGGAAGGCTCATTGTCTCACGTCGCGGTTACGGTTAACTGAATTTAGATCGATGAATATTCATTAAGATTATTTTATCTCAGCCCGTTTAACTACATGTATTTGTGTCTACGTGTGGGATGTTTTATTGTTAAATCAATTATTATTAATTTATTGCTATCATTATTTGTATCTGTCCTTGATATTAGTTACTTGTTAAATATTATTTGTAATATATGTTATCGTGTCGATACATATCAAAAACCAAATTTAATATTGGCTTAATATTAGCTGTTACAAAGCTGTTGTCGCACTTTGCTCTGTTGTCTGCTCAACAAACGCACTTCTTGCACTACTTATGCCAATATTATTTAGTCTGCCAATTTGTAATCGAAACATCCAAGTTGTATCATTATTCTTATTAATTTTGACCCGATTTACCGTGCGTAACCACCGATTATCGTTATTGGCGTTAAGAGATACCCGTCGTCGAATCGTGCGAGAGTTCCAGATAAAAGGCCTCGGCCGGTCAAAGGCCACGGCACAAAAATTCACCGGGCGCGCCTCGAGAAACGGGCACACGTCCTCAACGGAGACGGAGCGAGCGAGCGAGAAAGAGAGAGAGAGAGAGAGAGAGAGAGAGAGAGAGAGAGGGAGAAAGAGAGCTATTATTAATCGTAGCTCTTTTATATCACTAACGCGCATCTCATTCTCGTTTTTCAGCCAAACGACGATAGTCAGCTCGTCGGCGGTGAATGGTGTCGCCAGCGGCGGTGCGCCGACCGCGATGTACAGACCGAACTTCAGCCAGGCCTTCCAACGCGCCGGACCCACAACGGTACCGCCGACCCTCTCCGCCGGGCTGTACCCGACTCAAAGTTTCACATCGGGCCTACTGAGCAACGGTACACAAAGTAATACCTGGTTATTGGTGTCCTAAGTTTGCTTCTTCTGTGCTTCTTCATTATCACTCATAGAGTCGCGGGCATGTCTGACGCGCCACGCCGAGATCACTGGTGGGCTTTGTAGAAAACGCTTTTCGTTCTCTAGAGTCTCTTGAGAGATAGATTTCTCGTTAGCCAAACAGCTTGCCGAACGAGGAATCACGCGGACGAATTTTATGAACCGCCTCTGCCTGTAATTTGTACTATCTGTCCCGCGATAGTTATAATGTTCCGGTTCAATGACGCGACCGATACTTAGTTTTTCGATGACGTTCGCGCGAAAGAAGAATTCTTTCGTGATATCGAGCGCGTGCATGAAAGAGGGAGAGGGAGATGGAGAGAGAAAGACAGTCATCACGAGATCAGCGTGATTAATGATGAACCTGTTGTGTTGCACTTTGCAGGACCAACGGATCTCAGTATGAAGAATACCAAACCGCTACTGAGTCACAAGTTAAATGCTACGGAGATGACGGCCGTGAAGCAACTTATCACCGGGTATCGGGAATCCGCGGCCTTTTTGCTCAGGTCGGCCGACGAACTGGAGCAATTGCTGCTGCAGCAGCCATAGAGCTACATTTACGTCGCCGGCTCTTCGCAACTGGGTTCGTCGTAGGCACAACGACCAACTGGAGAGACTACTTGACATACGTACGATCATTCACGATCGCTACTGTTAGGGAGGAAGCAACCAGCCGACGACGGATTCGCAGGCGGTGTTTCGTTTGCACCCACTATCATCCTCTCACTATCCAACCGTCGGCAACATGGCTCTCTTCGAGGACTCAGCGCGAGTCGCGAGCACACGACGGTCGAATTAACGGGAAATGCTAAGGAGACGACGGCCGTCGGATGGATCCGTCGGGTCATTTTTTGAGGAACTGATCCGTTCGCCCGCTCCGTGGCGAATTCCCGGGACAGATTGTTTCTCGACAAAGAGCCGGCACGAAAGACGCGGAGAAGAGGCTGAAACTGCTACGGGATCGGGTGGATAGAGGAGAGACACGCGCCCGGCGGAAGAGCGATCCTTTTAATGCGTTTTCTTCTATATTGTTGACATATTTTGGCTAAAGGCGCCAATGAAACGGTTCCATGAATATATAGTAAATAATTGCGTATCTCATTATCGCGCATCTCACTGCGATGTTTCTAATTCTAGGCTTAAGGAAACTATTTGACAGGGTGTATATAGAGAGGAATAATGAGAGATATTTACTTAATTACTGATAAGCTTAAATATGATGCGGCGAGGGCGAATGCGTGCGAGCGCGAGAAGCAGAAGATAAGACGAGAATACGGAACCTCGAGATAACGGATAATCATCGTTCGGAAACGCACGCTGAATATTTTCTAACGAGACACGAGGGAGAGTGTTCCGCGCTTGCAACTTTTTTCCTATTCTGGCTCGTAAGCTTCGCGAAGAAACCCGCTCTCGCGGCGCGTTGTCGTGTGAATCTAATCCGCAATCCGCGTTGTTTCGATACGACCGACGAAGAGCCGTCACGTGTTCTTACGAGATACTAAAATTTCGCTAAAAATCTGTCTGTTGTTATGTACATATTACGTGAATGATATATACATATATATACATACATACATATATATATATATATATATATATATATATATATATATATATATATATATGATAAAAAGTAGATGTACTCCCACGAGAGAACGTTTTGATGTTCCTTGGACGAGTGCTCAAGTGATGAATCGCGCCATTCACTTCGAGAGTGGGCGTAAACGAAATTTTGAAAAATAAATTTGAATACGCGAAACAGTAAAGATCACACGAAAAAGCATATATATGTTATATATGCATTATATGTGTGAATATATATACGGCACATATGTATACATTGAGAAAAAATATCTAAAAATGAACAGATATTTCTTAAGCATATATATGTACACTAAGAAAAAAATATCTAAAAATAAACAAATATTTCTTAGGTGGATACCAACATTAACATTAACATGTTTACTTACATTAAAATTCATTTTATTTGAAACGAGTATTGTTTTACTTAAACCGAGTAAACAATACTCTGTTTGAATAAAGAGAATTTTTATTTAGGTAAATATATTAACAATGTATATTAAGAAATACTTGTTAATTTTTAGATATTTCTCTTTCTCAGTGTATTTATGGGCACACATCCGATTTTTTACGCGAATCTTCAAAATTTATCTTTCGCCACTTTCGCAGCGAACAACCCGGTTCGAGAGGATTCTACGACAGTCGTACGTGTACATACGAGTAAAATGCGTTCGCGCATTAATACACGTGTACATAAAAGAAAGAAAAATACGTAGGCCGCAGGACAAGATGGATTTTTTTAACGATGACGGGTCGAGTCGGGTCGCGCCGCGTAGCGTTGCGTCGCATCTCGCTCGAGGAGACTTCGCAACTGATGAATTAATTTACTAATTAATTGACTAGCGATATAACTGTGTACAACTCGCTCGTAATGTAGTCAGACCAGAGTTGTGTCTCGAAGGCGTGTCAAAGAGGCGTTTAGTGAGAGTCGGGAGTATAATTTCGGGACCATCTTGTCACGATTGGACAATACGTTACAACCGTATTCGTGGTCTCCGGACGCATCATTGTGTTACCAAAGAACACTAATTATTATCGGTAATATTATAAGCGTAGCGCTGTAAGAGAATCGCGTCCTTTTTTTTAACTGTATACCTTAAGACAATTCGTTTACCTTCCGCGAGGATCGTGAATTTATTATTATTTTTTTTCGCCACTTTCGTACGAGGATACATACAACATCGTGATATTTCACGTGACATTTGTATATATCTGATGATGTCGGTTCATTTAACATTATTATCTTATTATTATTATTATTATTTGCGTTATTACTTTTACGACATATTATTATTAACGTCGTCCTTTGTATTAATTATTACATTTTTACCATTACTGTCATTATTCTCGTCATCGTCGTCGTTGTCGTCGAGATTCTCAGATCGTCAGAAGTAAAAGAAGGAGAATGGTTGCTACAAATTGATTCCTGTGAATCGGGGAAGCGAGAAGACGGAGCGAAACACAACTCATACGCGACCACTTCGCTCCGTCCTCCAGCCCCATTTTCCACGGAAAGTTTTCGCTCGTTAAGTCTATTCTGTCGTTGTTTTGTACATAGTTTATACACACTGTCGGAGTGCATATAATAGATTATGGATATTAAGTTGCTTAAATAATTAGATGCAAGACGAAAGAGTACGTATAAATATATAATGTAAATGTAAAATATGTTTATGCGTATGATTACCGGTTGCTGTCATCGTCGAACTCCGAGTGCAGAACATTCCATTTTTCCAATGGGAGATAAGCGAGCGGAAAGAAAACACATAGAGAAAAAAAAAGACGAACGAGACGAAAAAATATAGACAATTTTATTAGAGAGGGAGAGTGAGATCGTGTGAGCGCGAAAGAGAGAACGAGCGAGATTAGGAGAGAGAAAGAAATGAAGCGTGTGAGTGAGAATGTGAGAAAGAACGAGAAAGGGAGAGAGAGAGAGAGAGAGAGAGAGAGAGAGAGAGAGAGAGAGAGAGAGAATGTATGCGTGCGTATACTATGCGATCACACGTGATGAATGTGAACGTGCGCTCATCGTAGACTTTACAGGAGTCACGACTTTCATTGTCTCGACAAACGCGTGAAAAAGTCGTACTTCCTTTTTCCTTTCCCGTTTCTGCGATCGACTTCGCCAATGATGTTTGCGCAACTTTAGTGAGAATATCGAATAAATCGTTTGGCCATTTGAAAATAATTCTTATCTCTTCAATTCACTCTTTTCTTTCTCTTCAAACTCAATTGTGTGTTTTGCGACACACACATACACACACACATACACACGCGCGTCGAATACAATTTTTCGCTCCCGTTCCATAATAATCTAAACGCGATCTTTAATCGACAGATATACACACACACACACCACAGTGCAATAGTCTAAATGGCGGCTCCCGTCGCTCTATCGTGTATTATCAGAGTCATGACGATACTTCTGTATGATGCACAAGACGTAAAATATACTCAGCTCAGTCACTCTCATTCCCCTCCTCCTCCGCTCCCTGCTTCTCGCCCTGCCAGACCCGTTGGTCTCGAGCAGGCGTCACGCGTAGCACTTCTTCACAAATATAGACAATTTGTATCAACAGCTCTCTCATATCGTATCTTACCGCTAGCATTGTAACATTTACGCGTAATCCACCTCAGATCAGTAGTCTGTCCGCGCGAGGCCGAGCTCCTCGCGTTTTACCACGTGTTCTCTCCTCCACGTCTCTCTAACCCGCACCTCTCCCCCCCCCCTCCTTCTCCGATCCTACAAGTCCTGCCAAGTTGAATTTTACTTGCATCTACAAAATGTTCACTACGTGCGCTCCGTTGATTGAACGATGACTTTACGATTAAGCCTCCGCGCGATACTACACAGTTCCTTCGAGGATTTTTGTTCTCGAGCGAATCAATCGCGGCAGGAAATGTCAGGTTTACCGATCATCATTTTGTCTCTCGCGATCGAGCAAGGATCGGAACGGACCGAATCGACGTGTGGTCGATGTCACGCGCACTTCTCCCGGCCGAAACCTTCTCACGCGTCCGAAATACGGAATAAAAGGAAAAGGGAAAGACACACACACGAAGGGAGAGACGAGATAGAGGAGCGCGGTTCGTCACGGGGTGTTACGACCGTGAAAACCTTGCGACACCACCACTACTACTACTCTGTTCCTCCGTTTTTTTCCTACGTTCGATAAAAGCAGCGTCCGTCGTACCTTGATTTTTGCCTACGCTGAAGGAAAAGCGCGGATATGCCGCCGTTCGTATAGTCGCGAAAGAATCGATGTATATTTACCGAGAAAAGGTGGAGAAAAATGGAAAGAAAATAAATGAATATGTATTTGTTCCTGAAGAAAAATCTAATAAGAGTAGTGATATACCGTAAAAAAGGGGGATGAAGAGAAAAGCTAATATTAATATCGATAGTGAACGATAACGATATAATTTGATGGTACATACTTTCTTATAAGTAACATTATACACATTACTACGATTATATTGTAGAGTTGGTACGGTTCTTGAGGATGCCTTGCCTGTAAATGTAACACACGTTAAATGACAAAAAAAATCTTATTACCTTGTAAATGTTTTACCAAATATAATCGATTATTCAACTTATACTTCGGTGCCTGTGGTCCTTTCAATTATCCACAGTCTTCTCTCTCTCTCTCTCTCTCTCTCTCTCTCTCTCTCTCTCTCTCTCTCTCTCTCTCGTTTTCTTCCCACCTTTCTCACACTCCACCACCCGTACCAAAACGTTCCTGTTGAAATTTATGACGCAGTGAATTATCATTTCTCCTTTTACGCGTCCACTCCCTTCCTCCCCCCTCTCTTTCTCTGCCTCTTTTCGTTTTTTCTCTCTTTCTCTTTTTTGTTTCTGAGGCCGCGAACCGTCTTTCCCGGAGTGATTAACGTCAACCGAAAGATCGCCGTAAACCCGCGGCCATAAATATTCGGCCGCACGCATAATCGTATGCGGCGCCTTTAAACGCGACGAGCCCGATAATGTATTATACGCGTGTATACATATCGGACGAAATGGAAAGTCGAATAAAAGTTTGCGGCAAGATCGCGATCTCGGGCGGATTGCGACAGAGCGTAAGTTGAACCTGCTCTCGCGACGCAACGCAATGTGCCGAG